AACCATGTAATCGAGGCGACATCCTATGTCGCCAACTAGTTTTCGAAATATTTATAAATAAAATCAGGAAAAAATCAAAACTATACGAAAAAAACATGAATTTCTCGTATTTATCAATTTTTTTCCTTATTTCATTTGAAAAGATTTTGAAAAACTAATTTCACATTCTCATTGTCACTTTTTCTTCTCTACAAGATGGCCATATAAAATTTAAAATCCAACTTTTCGTTCCTCTGGAATCATCATCAATTTATTTATTTTTAAATACGGACCTGCTTTTTTTACTGTGTTGTTGAAAAATTATAAACAGTATCGGTTTTAGGATGCCTAAAGATGTCAAAATCGCAAATAAAAAATCCAAAAAAAAGTGTCTTTCCCGCACTCAAAGCTTATCCGAACTCCGCTTCGCGTCGTTCGTCTAACTGCTTTTTCGTGCGGGAAAGTATCACTTTGCGCACTTGTTAGGAAAATAACTATTTTGCAATATGGGCATGTGTAGTATTTTGAAATAGAAAAAAATCCGGCAACATTGCGAAATGATGGATGTGGAGAGGTGTGATTATTCAGAGGCAGGATTCTATTGGTTAGAGCCTGAAGGACAGCACAGTGGCGTCGTTATTGACGAAACTAGAGAATTTTTTTCCTAATAATTTTATTGATTTATTTCCTTGGTGTTTTCGCTGCCACTGAACCCAAAGACATGGTTGTAATCAGGCGGTGTCAGTTTAGGTGTCAGTGAATATTCTTGGGTTACGTCCCACTTTTCTTCCCCTTTTCGTCTCTAACAAGTTACCACTTGCCAGACTATACGTGGTTTGTCTGCTAGTATTTTTAAAATTTTTAGAATCAAATACGTTGGAGACGACTCAACCAAATATAGACAAACTATATATTTTTGGAATCGGGAAATTGTGCTCTTTAAGAATATAAAACCAAATATAGGGCATCCCATTTGAAAAAAGCTGAAAGCATGCAACATTTCATATTTCTGACATTCAATTTTTGTTTCTGACCATGGCTTCTAAAAATTTAGCCAAATCTGTACAACTCTTGTATCTACACCTTTCTTCTACCTGTAAAGGTAGGGTGTCAATATACAAAAAAACACCCTGTACAGGGTGGGCCAATTTGGACACTTCCTTATGGAAACACCCTTTATTTTTAGAGATAGAAAAAAATTAACCCCCCACTCTGAGGCTCAAATTTCATGAAATTTTGATTGGTGCAAACCACTTTTTGATATCTTCAACCGTTTAGCCGCTAGAGGGCGATTCTCGATTTTGAGCAATATTGTGAACCCTTCATAACTTTTTTGTTTATGAAAATAATTGATTTCCGTAAAAACTTTCTGGAAGCACTTTTTAAAACAGAATTCAGGGACGTTCTCGGTTTTTTTCTAATTGGCGCCAATTTTGAGATATTGACCAAAGTCTGATTTTTTTCAATGGGACACCCTTTATATTAATAGCTCATTGCAAAGCTATGATTTTTCTGATTTTAATGATATAAAGTTCGATAGGGGTATCTCTAACCGTTTTCGAGAAAAAAAATAATTTCGGTTTTTCTCATAAGAAGCAATGTGTTAGAAAAAGACTTTATATCTGTAAGGAAAATGAAAAAGTTCTCTTTCTAATACATTGTTTCTTATGACAAAAACCAAAATAATTTTTTTTTCTCGAAAACGGTTAGAGATAAACCTATCGAACTTTATATCATTAAAATCAGAAAAATCATAGCTCTTCAATGAGCTATTAATATAAAGGGTGTCCCATTGAAAAAAATCAGACTCTAGTCAATATCTCAAAATCGGCGCCAAATAGAAAAAAACTGAGAACGTCCCTGAATTCTGTTTTAAAAAGTGCTTCCAGAAAGTTTTTACGGAAATCAATTATTTTCATAAACAAAAAAGTTATGAAGGGTTCACAATATTGCTCAAAATCGAGAATTGCCCTCTAGCGGCTAAACGGTTGAAGATATCAAAAAGCGGTTTGCACCAATCAAAATTTCATGAAATTTGAGCCTCAGAGTGGGGGGTTAATTTTTTTCTATCTCTAAAAATAAAGGGTGTTTCCATAAGGAAGTGTCCAAATTGGCCCACCCTGTACATTTCAACTGTTCTGTAATATTCTTGTATGTTTTCTTCGTTTTTATTTATCCAATTGTGTCCTACAAACACAGTTAAACCATATTATTGTTGCAGTATTTACTACTGTTAGAGTAGCTTGAGGAGGGCATGATAAAGGTCGAAACATAGACATAAAAAACATTCAGATTCCGGTTTTATTTGGCACCTATACAACAAACCGCTCCTACATTGACATAGGGGGCCACAAAAGTAAATCTTTACTCGAAATTTCTTTATCAAAATATGAAAGTATTTTCATGAAATTCAACTTAGGAATTTCCATTTTTTTTTTCAGGTAAATCATATTATGTTATAAAACTCATAATATAAGCTTGTGGGTTGTTTAAGACCTAGAGCACGAGGCTATGTTGGTCATTTAGTATAATGTATGTATCTACGTGAGGTTAATATATCGGGGTCTTCAAAAAAAAAAAACAATCAAAGATTGCTATGGTTTTTTTAAACGTATGTCTTAGCAATATTTGTCTTTAATTTTGTCAATGAAATTTAATGTCAAAATGTCCTGTCAAAAATCCTGACGAATAAAGAAACAGTAATGCGACGTACGTTTTCGTAGTCAAAGCAATCTTCGATTGGTTTTTTTTTTGAAGACCCGATATCTATGTTGACTTTGATTATATGAAATTTAATGAAGGAGCAAGAGAGAAAAATAGGGAAAGAAAACAGTAAATGCATCTCATTTGTGCGTACAGAAAAGTAATAAACAATAAATAAATATATGTATTAGGGAATGTTTCTTTTTTGTCATGCTAAAAATTGTTGAAGATTAGTTTTTGAGTCTTTGTTGAAAGGGGGAAAGGGCCTTATTCCCTTTCCTTTACATCTTGTGGAATCTTGTAGATTTTCAAGCTTTTTGACATCATGCTGCATTGTCTACTAGTGGTTCTTGTAGCATCTGGCTTCAATGTTTGGTTATTTCGGGTGTTGTATTGGTGATTTGGTTGACAGTAGTAGAGGTGATATTGGAATGAATGTTTGATATTTTAATGTTGTGGATAAATGTGCACGTTTGAAAAATATACAGTGAATTAATGTCCATGATTTTATTGGGATTATATAGTTTTACATCTGGGAACAATTGGGCAATTGAAAAAGTTAATCGAGGGCTCTGTTCTGAAGTACTTTTAGGGGTTTCAGGTAGTTGGCAGTTGCATTTTCCCAGGCAATCTTTAGATATGAAAGATGGCAGTGGATAAGTGAATGATAGACCATTTAACAATGAGGAGAACACAGGAACCGTGGCACCTTACTCGGTATTCCTACCGCTGGGGAAATTTTTTGACCTATTTTCAATATTTGAAATTCCCATGTGAGTTTATGATCAATGAGCAATCCAAGCCCTTTTATACATTTTTCTTTTTTGAACTTGTGTTCACCCAGGCCCAGTATTATATTTCGCCCGTTAATGTTGTTTGAGATAGTCGCGTAGCGTAGCTACATTTCTTGATGTTTAGTGAAAGTTTGTCGTAGCAAAGCCAGTTGTGGAATTTTGTTAGGCCTTCTTTTATAGTCGTTTGTAGGGCTGTGTGATCATTTCCGGAGTACAGAAGACATGTATCGTCAGCATATAGGCATAGCTTGGCGCTTAGGTCTAGTGTAGAGATAGAGCTCATATCCATTCTGTTCAAGCGTGGATATTAGGATATAATGGTTGACGGTATTCCGTAGGTCTAGGGAGACAAGCATGCAGTTGGAAACTTTATCCAATTTAGAATAAATATCAGTTACTAGATCTTTGGTGATAGTCTAGGAGGTAGAGACGATTTTTGGCACTTATTTTCCCAGTCAGACATCATAGATACAATTGTAGGGTAAGTAATTCTAAGCAAAATTCATATATTTTTAGGGAGGGTTTTCCGATGGGTTGAGGCGCAAAATGCGTTAAAGCTTACCAATGCACGGCCCTTTTTTTTCCCAGTGATAAGAACAGGTCTACTAATGAGAAGTATACTGAAGTTACGTAAAAAAATAGTCCGGCAAATCTGTGAGTATGAATAATACGTCTGGCAAGTGAAAAATGAAGATCCGAAAAATTTCAGCCAGACTCACTTTCCACTATCTGAGATAAGCCAAATTGCTATTTTCATATACTTTATGTTCTATTGTAGTGAATGTGAAATATTCATGACTGTTGGGAAAAGAAGTGTTGAAAAATTTCATTGCCTCCTGGACTATGACTGATATTGTACTAGATCCTTTTCTGAACCCATACTGGTATTTAAAAAATAAATTTGAAGATTCGAAATGGCTCACCAACTGGTTATTCATGCACGAAAAATTTAGCCCATTTTAAAAGGTTGTGTATACAGCCCGTAACAAAAGTAATATTGGTAAGTTGGCACAGAAGAGGAGCCAATTCGTTCTTGAATTCCTTTAGAATATGTTCAAGCCGAAGTTGTTCAACCGGGAGACGCATTCTTTTTCAGTTTGTCAATTATATTTTCCATGATTTCGATAGTTACCGCCTGGAATTGAAAATTTGTATTAGCAGGTGTAAGGTCATCTGGCTGATATTGTACTACAGGGATACTGTCTGCAAGTGTGCTCCCTATTTTAAAAAAGTATTCATTGAAAATGTTTGAGATGTATTTGGCATTTGTATAGGTCTTATTGTTGTGTTCTAATTCTTGTAATGTTGTTTATACTTTTTTCGGTCTTGAGTTGTGTATAATACTATTATGTAGTGACCATACTTTTTTGCTGTTGCAAACAGAATTTTCTAATTCATCGGAAAAGTATTATACTATATATTATATATCAAACCAACATAATATATTGTATTCTGTAGCATACTTAAATTTGAAGATCGAAGTCGAAACTCTCAACACTTTTTTGAATTTTGAACTTTTTCTAGGCAACCACTACCGCCTGGATCCGTAAGACCCAGAATCCCATTACAACTAGGACCCAGGCCTGGTCCAAATCTCCGTATGCCGCAATTGGAAGGCAGGCTTCAAGGGCTCGATCCTAGATTAAGACTCATTCTACACCAATCAAGGGCTGCTCTGCCTGGCCAGCAAGTACCAGCAGGCGGTATACGCTTCACCCAAGGAGCGAACCGACCGGCAACAATCGAACAATATGAACAATTGTTGCACCGACAAGCTCAGCTACAAGCTAGAAATCAAGCTTTAGAGCAACAAGGTGTCGGTGTGAGGTTGCCTTTAGGACAAAGTGGTGGTGGTGTGATTCAGAAACAACCTTCCTCGATAACTCAAGTGAGCTATTTACTTTAACTTATTGTTGATCATATTTCCATGTAATAATTTTCAGGCAATGCCTGTAGCTCAACCAGCTCAGCAAGCTGCTGTGACAAATGACCAAGAAATACCTGATAATGTAACTGCAGAACTAGAAAAATTGGAACAAGAAACTGGTAATATATTTCAGGTAGACTCTTACGAATTATTTGTATTATTTTTATGTTTTAGGCACAATGGCCGAGCTGCAAGGTGTCAGCGAAATATTGGGAGGTTTGGGAGATGATGACGACGAACTCCTAGCTGAAATGGGAGCAGATTTCAATATTTTGGAGTATGCGGATCCAGAATTAGAAGCATTAGCGGGAGAGAAGACAAACATTCTGGATTTGGATTTGGAAGATGACAATATGAAGCAGGAAAAGAAGAGGGAAGCTATGATGCAACGACAAGTGAGAAGTTTTTTCGGAACTCAAATTTTTTTCCTGATCAACTTTGTAGTCAGCAAAAAGTTGCTAACTAACCTGTTTTTCAGGATTCTGTTTGAATTGTTATTGAAACAATGTTAATTTTTTTTTTTTCAGAATAATGTCTCTTCTGCCCAAACAGCAACGTCTCAAGCGACTAAAACTGTAGTTGCAAGTAATTCACAGAAAGAACAAAAGCTAGAAAAACGACCAACCTCCACTGCTGCAGAAGAGCCGCATAAATCAGATGCATCTGCTTTACCTCAACCTAATAATAATCCTCCACTGCCTCTTCAAAAACATCAACAAGTTCCTCAAACACATCAAGTTTCTCAAAAACATCAAGTGTCTCAAAAACATCAAGTTTCTCAGAAACATCAACCTCATTCCGATAATAATTTACGTCCTCAAACGCCAGCATTGGCAGATCAGTCTCAAAATCAAATAACTCAAAATTTATCACAACAGCGTGTTGTACAAAATATATCCTCATCGCAACCCCAACTAGCCCAGGCTTTGGCTAATAATTCAAATCCACAACAACAGCAGCAACAACAGCTGCCTCAGCCAGAGCCTCCCGTGTTACAGCAACAATTACAACAACAGTTACAACAACAACCACCACAATTACAACAACAACAACCTTCTCCTTCCCAACATCAACCCAATATTGCTTTAACAGCCCAGCAACTCCATCAACAGATGCTGCAGCAGGTAGGATGCAAAATGTCCAAATATGTAAGTTGCACTCATTTCATTTCACCATTTTTTTGTAGCTTTTAAGGGCGAATGCAAGTATACTATTTTCCGTAAATTGAATATGATGATGTCTAAAGATAAGTAACTTCCATATACATAAAGGAAATGTCCGGGAATTGGGAAGATGTGGTGTGTTTCAGAATTTTTCCGTTTCAAAGCATGTGTTGATTTTGACCTATAGGTGTCAATGCCACAAAAAAAAAACAATGCTGAAGAGATAAACTAGACAAAATTTCAATCTACTTATCTATTAGGTGTGAACATATTTATTATAAGCTATTTTAAATATTTTCTTGGTATCTGGTGCAGATTTTCACAGTTCCAAAAACGAAGAATACAGAGTTCCAATTCAGAAAGTAAAAAGTGTATGAAGGTATGGTGCAGCATTCCATTTCATTTAGCGTTTCTAAATGCTTTGAATGGATCATAAATTGTTGGATATATGGAGAAATCGTGCGATTTCCGTAAGGAAAATATCCATTACACCTTCTACCTTGGCACATTAAACTTTTCTGGATTACATTATATTATGTTCTGGTTTTGTTAGGACGGGTAGTGGTTCAGCTAAATTCTCAAATAGGTTTGAGTTGTAATTCCCATACCAATGAAAATCATTGGATCAAATTTCGTATTGGAAAATATGTAGTAGCACTGCATTCTTATCATGAGTACTGAGCTAAGTTTAGGTTAAGGTTACCACTGGGCAAATAATGTTAGCACGCTATGTGGCGTTTCTGCAATCATTCCAGTTAGTTGAAATAAATAACTTATGGAATAATTTGTTTAGAGCTTCTTAATGAATTAGAATCAGAATAGAAAATAATTATTTTTCGTCTTGGAACGGGGATAAATAAATAAAACATCCATCTCTCTCAGCAGAAAAAAGATAACCTTCCTAGATGCCCTGGCCTGTCGTCTGTATGTCCAACATTTTAAATACAAAAAATCATATTCATCTTTTTCTTGCACTAACAATAGCGTCTAAATCGTTCACGAGCTTATTTAACCAACTGTTTTTGGTATAACGTTCGTTGGAATAGAAGTATTTATGTGGTTAATATCCAAAACAAACTCATAAATTGTTTTTCTTTTTTTACAGGTACAGCAAGCTGCTGCTATGGGAAAACCGATGCCACCGGGATCCAAACTACAAACCCCTGAAGGTATTGTCGGCATTGTTTTGGCTAATAATAATGTCCAATTGCAAATACCTCCGAATTTCCAACAAAGACTGCTGCAAACATGTGAGTACTTGTGTCATGGCTTAAGTAAAACGTTATATGTTTATTTTACTTTTAGTACAAAATCAAAAACTCCAAATGCGAATCGGGCGAACTGTTCCCCGTCCCCAACAGCCGAATATAAATCAACCCCCTCAGCCTGTTCCTGGACAAATAGCAAGACCCAGAATGGCTTTACCAACGCCACCTCCACCGCCTCCGTACCCTGGTCCACCGCCACCCTATCCAGGGAATCTCATGGCTCAGCAACAGGCAATGCCTCAGCAGGTAGGTTGATATTGAATACCCTACACAATTTTTATAATATTTTTGACTTAGTTGAAATAATCGGCATGTTTGTCTGCTTGATATTTTTTGGTTAAAAAATGAGCTTTATTGATAAAAGGGGAAAGGGGTTTCTTTTCATATATTTTCTTGGTGTGTAGGTAGTGCAGTTTATTATAATATTTTTCGCTTTTTAGCGGTTTGGGAACAGATTTATAGATACCAATATTAGTTTCAAAATTTTATCTAAATTGGGTCAGTAGTACATATTTTTAATTACTGCTGCTTTTTTAAATTACTGTACCTATATTAGCTAACCTTTTAGCAGAACAAATTCCTGATGATTTAATACAATAAAATTTATTTTTTACATATACATCAATATTGCTACAGGGATACCCCACATACTTTATTTGTAACAATATTAATTTGCATCTTGAAGAAAAGTGGCTTCTTTGGAAAAAAAATAAATCTGCTTATAGAATGGTTTAAGAAGCTTGGGTTTAATTTAAGAGTTGCAAAGTCACTATTGTTTTGTTAAATTCAATCAAATATACACTTTGTCCCACATAAAAGTAACTATATGGGGATTTCGGAAACGGTAAGAGATACAATTTTGGTTAAATAGGAAAAAAGTTGCGCTATTCCAAGCCCAATCAGCTGCCGGATTCTATTTCACGAGTCGAGTAGAAGTTCGCATCGAATAGGGTACTTGCATGGAAAATTAAATTGATTATTGTTTATTGCAAACTGTAGGAAATCGAAAAAAAATCGTTACTTTTTTTTTATTTTGCCCAAATATGATTATTCCGGAAGTTATTCAAATATTAAGTTTTGTATATATAGATATACTTAGCATGTGCAACGTCACTAATTTATTAGATAACTGACGTCATAGGCAGACCTCATAGTGTTGTATCTCCGTCAATTTTTGACTAAGAAGAAAAAGAAAAAACACGTGTTGACTTATTTTTCATGGACTATCGAAATCAGCAATAAAAAAATTTGATGCAAGGAGCCTATTGTCAAAATAGCGATTCTATTTTCCGATTTATCAATACCCATTACATGATAAGTCCGAAGCTGTCATATTCGATATCGAGACAATTCGACTCGACTCGTAAAATAGAATCCGGGGGCAGATGCTGCATCGCAATTGAAAATATCTACAGGGGTTTTCAAAATATCGAGCAAAAACTAAAAACTGTGTTTTTCGAAAAATTGAAAGATCGTCTCCATCTTGTGAACAAATTAATTAAAATTCGGTAGGTTTTTTTTTTACTGTTAAATTAGACAATGATATGATGTGATGTTGGCGCTTCACAACTATCTAGCAGTGGCAACATAATATTAATCAGGTACTAACTATTATCACAAATTGAGGAACACAAAAGAAAAAAAAATCTAATATACATGGTGTATATTTTAAGTGATACCACTATTGCTATATCCGAAATAGTAAGTGCTACAAGGTCGGTTAAATTCGAAAAAAGTTGCCTTTTTTGATGCCCATTCAAGACTTGTTAACAGTGTTGCCAAACTCCTTTTAGTTTATGAAATACAGGGTGATTTCTAAAAAACACCCAAAATTATTTTATCAATTATTTCGAAAACTATTGATATTCCAGACAAAATTTAAATTTGAAAGTTGTAAATTTTTTTTCGCAACATGGCATCTTCAAATTTTGAATCCGACGTTTCGTGATCGAGCTACCATCATCAACATCATTTTTTTAAACATGGACCTGAATTTTTTAGGTCATTTTTAGAAAGAGAATAAAGTGCTTTTTCTGACTCAACACTCCTACCATAATACACCAATGTTGTGTCGTCTGCATACAATTTTATTTTACCCCTTAATGAAAGTGTACCAATAGAATTAACATAAATTAAAAACAATGCGGGGCTTAAAACTCATCCTGTTAGCATTATTTGCATTCACATATTGCCTTCTGTTCTGCAGATAGTTTCTGAACCAGAATTACGGAATTCCTCTAATACCTGCCTTCTCCAACCTTAACAGCAAAATCTCATGGTCTAGTGTCAAATGCCTTCTGCAAATCCAAAGACACCAGAGAACAGATACTTCCATTGTCGATTTTTATTTGTAAATCTGGAATAAGATCTATAACCGCTGTCTCGGTGTCCTTGCCTTTGCAGAAGTCATACTGACCCTCATACAATAACCCAAACCTATCCAAAAAGTAATCTGTCTGTCTGTCTACATCTTGATATACCTTATTTTTTTTTTCTGGTATTCCATAAGTTTGATTTGCTTTAGGTAAATTCAGGGCCTGCAGCATATGATCACTAAGGCAATGATCAATTAGTGCCAAGTCGGAGTCACTTGCAAAATTTGTAGCAACATGATCAATGAGGGAAGGATGGTTTGATAATTTCGTTGGAATCATTTCATGTTTCGCATGTTTCATATATCTCCCTGTAGGTGCTTACAATACATATTGCCATTTTTCAAATGGTCCTAGTTAAAATCACCTATTATAATATTTCTAGAATATGGTGCTCTCCGGAAAGTTTTCCAGTTCCCGAAAAAATAAATTCATATTATAATTTGGGGGCCTGTACAAAGCCTTAACATTCAATTTGTAATTTACAATATTTACAGTGACCATTGAAAAATCTGACTTGTGTTTTTCCATAACTTTAAATGTTAACGAATTCCTTATGAAAACACCAACCCCGCCACCGTATTTGTTTCTACTTATATAGCAAGCATTATCGTCAGTTATATTATAGAACTTTTCTTCTCCTGGTTTTAATCATGTTTCAGTAGCAACAACAAAATGAATTTGTATTTTGAAGCTTGTTATAATAGCTTCTACTCCTTCAGTCTTGTCTCTCAGAGATCTTACGTTCATGTACAATACATTGATTCCATTGCACTTCTTTAGCACTTTCAAACTACTTTTTATTGAATTAAATTGATATATGAACTCTATTCTATTGGCAACGTCGCAGCACGATCTGGTATTGTCTGTGTTATCTTCTTAAAAATTTTGTTATTTAAAGGTGATGAAATGAAAGTTAAAAACTAGTAAAGTGTATTTAGTATTACCTAATGTGAGCGCAAGCAAAATCCAAATTAATCAAATTTTGATCTTTGGGATTGCAAAAAAAAAACACAAAACCTGCTTATCTGTTTACATATTTGTGCAACGTATGTTTAATATAAACAACCGTTGCATTGAAGTGTTGGCAAGTTTTGCTAAACATCTTAACAATAAATGGTTATGTGACAAGTGCAAAGCTCATACAAAAAATTAAATAAGATGATCACTTGACCCCTCGCAAAGCTAGAGCAGGCAACAAATGGTAGGTGTAAGCGCTAAAAATAACTCCTCAAACGATAATATTAGGGTCTATTTCAATGAAATAAGGGCAGAGCTCATGACCCAAATACGTAATTTTAAAAATGACTTGAAGTTTTACTCGGACCAAGACGACATACAGAGAGCTGAAAATGCAACTTTCAACGAAGAAATAAAATCTCTAAGAAGGGAAAATACCGAGATAAAGGGGGAGTTACAAAAGCTCAAGGGCCTATATGAATTTCACGGGCAGGAACAGAGATCATCCAATATTGTACTGGTAGGCTTAAGCAGCATTGCTGAGGATGTGAAAAAGAATGCAAATGAATTGAAAAAAAAGCAGAAAAAGTACTAAAATATATAGATATCAACCAAGTGATGTTAAAATAAATATTATAAATTGCAACAAAAACAAAATGCTAATCATGATTTTCAAAAAATTTCTATATATTTTTTATTTTTTATTTCCGCCCTTAATACTATCAAAAATTAATTAAAATCAAATCAATTTTACATAACTTTGTTCAAATTCAAGCATATTTGTAAAGTTAACTTGGATTTTTAATTTTTTATGGAATCACAAAATTCACGTTTGTTGCAATGATATTCAACACAACTTTAAAATGTCGCAATTTTTTTTTTAACAAGTTAAAACATTACTAATGATAATAGCCATATTAAAAAAACTCTCCTTAAAGTGCAAAAGATTTATTTTATTTAAGTAAATATTACTACAATTTTGATATTTTGAGCTACCCTGTATGCTGTTTGACTTGCAACCATTCTAAGTGCACCTAATATGGTTATCAGACATGCACCAACTTTTGGCCTTGTTTGTATTTGGGTTGTGCTTTTACTAAAAAAAAATCCCATATGTTGCACACTTAAAAAATCACACTGTATATAAAGTCAGTGATTAGGCTCCTATTCAATAATAGGAAATATTTGTTTACAAGGCAATTACTCAATAGTTGTGCAGTCAGGCCGTATCTCAAACTCACCAAGTGTCGGAATAGTCTCCTGTACTCAGCCTTCAAAAATATATGACCCATTGCCACCTGATCTGAAAAATGCACCTTATCACAAAGTTTTAAAAAAATTGAGCGATTGGATAATGGATAATGATATCCGATGAGCCTCTGTGTGATTTTACTTCATTTTTCCAACTCTCATTTTCTCTGGTGTTCTTGGTTGGGATATGCATACATTCACTGATCTTTCTCATTGTGTCTGGCGAATCGTTGTGACTAGATTATATTATTGTTGTTATTGACAGGTGTTAATATTGTTGATTATCGTTGGTGCCTGTAACTTATTTTTGCAGTTATTAGTTATTGAGGAAAATTCCTATGTGAGATGTGTGAACACACAGTTATTGTCAACCATTGTGCACATAACTCACTAACTGTAATGTACTATTGTGATTTGATTATGGGAAATAAACATTATTATTATTATTCCCCCCCTTCTCCCCTTAAGCCTTGAGCTTTCTTGCCCTAAAGAACAAATATCTTAGTTCCTTCAAGAGGTCTTCATTTATGAAAATTTTTCTGTCACTGTTCCCCAACTTGCAGTCTTTTATTGTTAAAATTCCTTTCCTTCTCCTGTTTTCAACTAGTTTCCCTGTAATTTCCTCGTTTTTGAATAAAGCAACTATTGGTTTGCCTGATTTATCAGTTTTTGTTTTAGCGACTACGGGCAATCGAATGAGGTTAACAATTTTTTTCTAGGCCAGTTCAACTTTGTTATATGGCTTTTCTACGTCATTAAATGAAGCATAAAAAGAGCTTTTTAACGGACAATGTGAATTTAAATTTATTGAAAAAAAAAAAGTTTTTCATTTAGTTGGTTGTGAAACAAATGTCGTAATTGTGTTTGTTGTCATAGCTTCTAACTATAGATATTTTCAATTTCGATACAGCATCTGATTGGGCTCGTAATAGCGCAAATTTTTTCCCATTTAACCAAAATTGCATCTTACCGTTTCCCAAATCCCCACGTACTCACATACTTTTACCTGGGACACCCTGTATTTTGAGTTTGTGATTTAGTTGGAAACACAAAAAAAAAAATAATGGCTATTGGATGAGGTTTTTTTTTAAATTTTTTATCCAAAAAAATCTTTGTTGTTTACAGCTTTATTTTAGTTTACTTATAAAATTTTGATGTCATTGTTGGGTGTTGCATATTTTCAATATTTCAATTTACTGGTTTACTTTTTTTTTCAAGCTTCAGTAATAATTTAGTCACCGTAATTTTAATAGCAAGTATTAGTTTTTCATCTTTTGTAATATAAAACTAAAAAACTAACAAAAATTAAAATGGTTGAGGCTAGTTTGGTTTAACTGTTAATTGCATGTGTACGGTAGATGGGATTGAGAATGGGGCCTGGTTTTCATCATCACATGGGACTCGTGCATCCCCTGGCACTGCAGGGTTTCCCGATGCACCCACACTTTGAGAGGAGACCGCTTTTACTGGAGGTGAGATACAATAGATATCTTGCTTGTATTAGTTTCTCTTTTTTGCTTTGTATTTGTATTTTAAATGTAATTTTTAGCATTTATATTTTCCATAAGTTGTTATTCTAGGAAACACTTGCATACATAAGCACCTGCATTGGTACAGTCACAAAATTATTTTGATAATACTTTAGAAATTTTGATGTGAAGCCCTATTTTATATAGTTTCACATCATAATTAAAAGCATCCATGGAAAGTGCATGGAATAGTGTAGGTCCTGACTTTTATTCTTAAATGATATTTTATATGAAAAATAAACAGGTTTGCATAAAATATGCCAACTTAACAAATCATATTTCACCTGTGCAACATTAAAAATTTTAATATATATTCTTAGATACAGATCCTTAGCATAGATAGTTCCCCTTTTTTTAAATTTGTTCAGATATGACAAAAATCGAATATCGCGATTAGTGTGCATTTTTGAACTCGTAGAGAAATACTTTAAAAATTGCAACTTATTGTCATGTACCCACATAATATTAGTAGATAAAAGCAAATCAACATTTTAAGCCGTATTGGATTCGGACAATAATTGTCAAATAAGGATAATCTCAGCAATAAATTATACATAATTTGCTATTAATTTAGAAAAAGCACTATAAATTAGAATAAGATTTCACTTTACACCACTCCTGAAAAATGACGTATACAGTTCATAGTACTACGTTTTCCCACTTAGTTTAGTTTTTTTTTCAATAGTTTTTCAATAAAATAATGACTGACAAATTCAAACTTTACATCTAGGAACAGCCTCTGTTGCTGGAAGATCTATTGGAACAAGAAAAGAGAGAACAGGAGAAGCAAAACCACAATCATCCTCTACCTTCAGATATCAACACAAGAAGTAACGATTCAGAATCGGCTTTGTGTGTTAGCGATCATGATTTTGAAAGACTCAAAGCTGATGTATTCAGTAGTGGGCATTCTGATACCTCATCTTCAGGTAAGATATTTAAAAATAATTCAAATTTTCGGATAATAGAACAACTATCCAGACTCCACAGTTGGAATGGTGCAACAACAATGGCAACCTAATCGTCTACAGATGCCCAGTGCGCCAACTCAACACACTACAGAAGTTACGACCAAAATTCAAATGTTCAATGCAAATTTAATGCCTGCTCCGCCACTACCATCAGAAAATATCGTTACGGAACAAGACAAACAGGCTCAACTTTTATATGAGCAGTGGCTTAATAATCAGAATAATGTTTTGACTCAGCAACTTCGATACTATGAAACTGAAGTGCTAAAATTACGTAAAAGTAAAAAGGTATGTGACAATTTTTGCATTTGAAAAAAGATAATTTCTCAAAAATATATACATCGATTTTTTTTGCCAATAGTCATTAAATAGCAAGCAAAGACAGCTAAGGAAATCTGGCAATCAGCTAACTGAAATTGATTCAAATGAGCTACAAAGGATTTCTGCCGAGCAAGCTATTTTACAAAAACATCTAGAGTCCAGCAGAAAGCAGAGTCGTCAACATGGAATGCTCATACAGGTATCTATCAATTATAGGCACTGCTGTTTGTCTAGGTAGGAGCACTTGTAGCAACCCAAAACATTATCTCCAATATTTTATTATTAGTAAAACTCACTCCTAGTCGTAAAATACTGCACAAGTAGCAATGTCTATAAATTTCATAAACTTTTCATATAATCTCGTGTATTACCCCTACTGGTCTATATGAAGGAATACCGGAATAAACAACAACTGCTCCAGAAGCCCCTCATGGGCGGGCCGCAGACGCAACTAGCCTCCCCTCTAGGACCTCCAGGATCTTCTCCAATACATCACGCAGCTGCCAGTCACTCACCCATGTTGTCACCGCAACAGTCGCCTTTGCCTCAGCAGTCTCCATTGACGCAACATAATTCACCTATGAATAGTCCGGGTCCTATGATGGTTCATTCTCCAGGGCCTGGATCAGTGGCTGCTTTGTTACAGAGTCCAGGCGGGAGTGTGTCTCCAATACAGACTAGGATTGGGACACCATTGTCTCAAGGTGAGTAATGTGAAAAACATATTAGGGCTGGTACATGCAATAATGTGAACTTATAAGACGAAAGACCGATATAATGTGATGCAATAATGATACTTTCCAAACATAAGAATTAAAGATGTTAAATTACGTTTGTTTAAAAAATTGAGATAATGAATGAATGATTCAAATGAAAAGGCACGCTTGAATGTTCTTTGAGAAAAAAATTTAGAAAAGTACATGTTAAGGTCTACTAAGGGAAGCCAAACATAAAAAAATCTTTGGGAAAGAAAATTATTAGGTACTTTGGACAAGGTTTTGCTATTGTAGTCCTAAGTTATTGTCACACTTCTTAAAGAAAAGTTCACACTTTTTTGCTTATGGTTTATTGTCTGTATGCAATTCAAATTCAAAAAAGCTTTATTGTCCAAAGTAGGTACATAAAGTTCTCATTGACAAGGCAAATATAATAAATCCCAGTATGCTATCAAAAAATTCTAAGTATAAAATCCGACAACAAAGAATAAAAAACGAGACCAAAATCCTAAACTAGAAACTATCACAATAAAATTCGTTCAAACTATAATAAGCCGCACCAACCAGCAACCTCTTAACTTCTTTCCTAAAATGTCTCAAAGAGGGGATGGATATCAAATTCCTTGGCAAATGGTTGTGAATCTTAATGCTTTCATATATGACAGAATTTTTTACCAGTGTATTTGTATAGTTTATATCGCTTCCCGAATACAACTGATGCGTGTTTTCTGGAAAAACTGGAGGATTTTGTTGAAAACATAAATATGGACGCAATATTAATAATGGTTTGGGACTTCAACATTGACCTAACCAAAGAAAGCTTTTAGACGAATAAAATGAAAAATATAATAAATAACAATGGTATTTATCAGTTGGCGGACAGTTTTACACGTATAACATCCAAGTCATCCACGAAAATTGATCTTATTCTAACAAACCAAAAAGACGTTAAACATGAAGTGATTACATCAAAAATAACTGATCAGCCAATTATTGAAATATGTTTCACAGAAGAAGAATCTAAAAAACTGAATAAGACAAAAACATCTAGAAAATATAAAAATTTAAATATAATGGAATCTCATCTCAAATCGCAAAGTGGACATCAAACTATACAGATATAAATGCCCGGGATGACTGCTTGATAGCATTGAATGAGTTTGCACCGGAGATAACAAGACCTTTAAAGGAAGTGTGGGGAATAAGATTTGGTGGAGTCAAGAAATAGAGCATGAAATGAAATCTAGAGACCGTTTCTACAAAAGGGCAATAATAACGAAAACAGAAGAGGATTAGAGAAACTACAAGGACCAAAGAAATAATTTATAATATCATTGATAAGGAATGCAAAGGTGAATTACTTCAATGAGAAAATTGACGACGTAAAAGATAGTTCATCTGAGATGTGGAATTTGAATTGAAAAAACTGATCAGTAAACGAATATGAGGCAACAAATAGTGAAATCATGTTTAACAACAAAATGGTTGAAGGAAATGATATGTGAAAATTGCAATGCCTTTTTTCTGGACAGCATTAAGGATATCTCAGTGGGCATGAAAAGGAACCAAACAGATGAAGAGGTTACGCAGCATATAACCAGCCACACGAAAATTGGTGAATCGGATGGAAAACAAAGAAACTAGTACAGTCAAGTCCTGAAGGCAGCTTTTTGAAGTGATTGGAGATAAGATTTCTAACTTATTCCCAAAAAATGGAAATTAACTATAAACATTTAAAGTTTTAGAGAATGCAATAGAAAATTCAAATATTTTTTCTTCTAGCAGATTATTAAATTCTACTATGGGTTGAAAAGGATTGACAGTTAGGAATTAAGTATTCACTAGAATAATGCAACCCCCATGCCCAAACACGTTTCTGAAAAAAGAAGATATTACTGTATATCTAGGCATACAGAACAATTTTTCCTCTTTGAGCCAATGTTCAGTAATCAGTATCATATTTGGACACCCATACTGATAAATAAATATATTCAATTCACTCGATTTATTTCTAAGTGATTGAATATTTGAAAAAATGAAGGAAAGGTTGTTATTATCGAAAACCAAGTGATTATCAGAGATTGAGCCAGGCAATGTTTGTCTAAAAAAGATTCATTAGAATCGGAATTATTTGAAGAAATAAAACATACCCTGCCTTTTACCATTTGAGATCCAGGACTCATACTCATCACGGCATGCTCAGGAGGCCATGAACAACCTGAGCCACCCCCGAACACTTCAAAGAATGCCCAACATATCGCACCGCGAAAATTCTAAAATGGCTCTATAAATAAAATCTGCTAACAATCTCTTGCCTCTCGAATTCAAAAAAATACCTTTATTAAAAAAAATCATTTGTGTTAAATTTATCCTGCAAGTCTACAAATTCACCTTATTTGAATAACACAATTTCAACATACATTTAAAAATATTACTATTTATAGAACGAACAGTAGTAAACAATATTTATTGAACTAATTGTTCAAAGGGCCATCGACCGAGGTCTTTCAGCCTTTGATATCTACAATTTCATATGTATTTACAAAATTTGTATAAGTATGAAACAGATAAATCCACATGCGATGGAGAAAAGAAAAAAAAAAAAAATTAAATGAACAATGCAAGTACGTACAACCATAGATTTACACAATTACCTATGTACTTATGTTAGCTTTTTATAGTCTATTATTTTGTATAATTTGGAAAACAGTTTCTTCTGGATATTGTCTTTTCCTGATAAGGCCTTGTGGAATTTCCAACATGAATGGACTGATTATCGCTATGTTGGATGGTCTGCTGCCAAACTTCTCGGTAAGACTTTGAAATCTTTGAATGATTTGTTCAATTTCAGTTTCTTGATACAACATTTCATTTGATGGATTATGAAGCGGGTTTGTAGGATGTCTGATTTTTGTAATTTTACGGAGACTAGTTCTTTTTGCAGTTTCTATTATCTGGATGGCAGGTCCTCTACAAGCACTGAAAATTATCTGTCCGTATTCCAAAATTGGTCTGCATATTGTTGTGTAGATGTGACATGCAGTTTTGATGTTAATACCTTCGTCCTTGTATGTAAGGTTTCTAAAATGCTTGCTCCTTATTATTGTCTTTTTCTTCATCGTTGACAGGTGATATTTGAAATTTAATTTATTGTCGAAATGGATACCCAAGTATTTGATGTGAGATTGAGGGAGTATTTGGTGGTTGAGAATATCTAGTTCTGGTGAAGCATCGCTGATCTTGTGATGAAATATTATAAATTGCGATTTTTCAGGATTCACTTTTAGTTTCCACCTATCTAACCAGACAATCACTCTGTTAAGTGCTATTTGTAGAGATTGAACAGCTTGGGATATATTCTTGTGGTGTGATATAATAGCTGTATCGTCTGCAAATTGTATGATATATGGACTTGCACTGTAACCTGGTTTGTTGGAGGGAAGATGTCGTGACAATAAATATTATAGAGCAATGGCGACAGTGATGATCCCTGTGGTGTTCCCTGCTCATTAGAAAATGGGTATGAAAGGCTTCCATTTATTTTTACCACATTTTGTCGATTCTCCAGGAACTTATTAACAAGCCATATCAGGCATCTTGGACATTGTAACTGGTAGAGTTTAAACAGGATACCTCTATGCCAAACTGTATCAAAAGCCTTTTTAATATCTAAAAACGTCGCCGCACTTCTGAAACCCATAACATTTGCTGACTGTATGTTTGATGTTAGAATGGATAGTGGATGAATAGTGGAGTGACCTTGCTTGAAACCGAACTGATGCCCAGGTATGTTTCTTCCTATTTCACGGTTTATTCTATTCCGAACAATTTTTTCAAGATTTTTTCCTAAAACTGGCAAAAGGGTAATTGGTCTGTAGTTTTCCACTCTGGAATGGTCTACGTTCGGTTTGGGTATGGTTATGACTGTGCCTTTTTTCCAGGTATTTGGAAAGTAGCCATTAGTTAGACAGTAGCTGTAAATTTATTTTATTCTTGTGTGGATTTCTGGGCTGAGTTGTCTTAAAATATTACGGTTGATGTTGTCGTAACCTGGAGCGGTGTTTTGCCCTTCAGCTATGACCTGTTTGTATTCATCGTCCTCGATTTGTATATCAGCTCTGCGTAGCTCGCCTGAGAAAAAATCATCAAACCATTCTTTGACAATTGCAGTTTGTTCGTCCCCGTCATTCTTACTGTTATCCATAAAAAGATTTTCATAGTACTCCGCAAAGGCATTAGCTTTATCGAGGTCGCTGTCCAGAACCGTGCTCCCTTGTTGTATCATTGGGATTGGTGATTTTGCTGCCTTATATTTACTCAATTTTTTAATTTCAGTCTAATAGTTTTTTCCATTGAGTCTATTTATGTTATTGCAGCATTTTATCCATTTGTCTTGTTTGAACTCTCCAATCAGTTTGTGTATTTCTTTATTTAAATCATTGAATTGCCTTTTTAGGTTTGAATCGTTGTCATTTTGTTTTATTCGTCTATAGAATTGGCGTTTTTTCTTAATTAGTGCTACTATGAAGGGAGGAAGTTCATAGTTAAATCTTTTTTTCCTTGATTTTGGAGAATTCGATGTAACTAATTCTGACAATTTCTTATTAAATTCTTCGATAAAGTTTCCATTAATTTCTTCTTCTTCATGTAAAAACTCCCCTAGCTTCTGATTTACAACATCAATGTTACATTTTTGTATATTATATTTTGTTTCTTCTTTGTAGTTATCTTCTGGAGGAATTGTAGCATCCAGAGTCCATAGTATACTGAGATGATCACTTCCTAGGTCTGATGTTAATGAAGTATTAATGTTTTTCTTAATATTCTGAGTGCATAACATTATATCAGGTGTGCTGCTTGGGTTGTTCGTCATGATAAATGTAGGTGGTGTGTTGATTCTAACAAAATCGGAGTTCTGCAAGAAGAAATTCAATTGTTGTTTTTTTCCAGCATTTGGGTTGAAGTCTCCAATGGGGTAGTATACAAGT